CTGGTGACAGTCTTTTTAACCCCTCCCTCATTTTATGTTTGTCTGTTTCGTTGTATTTTACTCTTCTTTGTTGTCATGCTAAATTCCTATATATTTGATGTTTTTTCTGCAGTATGCACCATGTTGAGATGCAGCGAAATCGTCCTGGATATAAAAAATCTCAAATTACGGGTAGTATCTGAACGATGACAAAAGATGAAGTAAGCCATCGACTTCAGATTGCAAAATAATACGGAATAGACCTTAAGGTACACTATGTTAAGGCTAGCAGCACCTCCGAAATCCTCAGTATGGTCGGGGGTGGGTGTCTAGGGTTGTGGCTGGTCACCCTTCCCATTGGTCCTCGCGAAATGCTCCCAAACGACCGAGAGTCTCAAATAGCCTCTGCTGAGGAAGTCCTACTCGCTGCCTCCTCGTGGCGGAGGCGTTTTCCCCACCATAGTGAGAGGACGAAAAGCCGACATCCGGGGCTACAACCGGGTTGGTGAACCACTGGTAGTTCACCTAGGGGAGTTGGTCAAAAACCTTGATTCCAAACCAACCATGAGGAGGCTCACGAACCACACCCACACCTTTCCGATTGTGGCAACGGTCAACGGCTCGATTGGGCATCAAGGTGTATTGGGCACCTTGGACGTCAGACCCCGTCCGAAAGGCGTATAATCCGATGAACTGGACACCGGCTCCCAACGGATTGCGGTTTTCGCACACCGCCCCGCTGTCTTGCGGGTCAGGCTTTGGCTAGCCAAAGGCTCCGGTTGTGAATTCCCCAAGAGAATTCACCTGCCTTGATCTGGGCAACCTGGCAGTATTCGGCCCACATGAAAATCATGGAACGCTTATCTTTTTCATAAAGGTTATTGTATTACGATTTGTTTGGCACACGTCTGGCCTCAAACGGGCGTTAAATATAATATTATAATAGCAGCACTTTACAAAAAACGTAATGCACGCTCATCGTGAACAGTAACCTAAGAACCGTTAAAGCAGGACGCATCCAAGAAGTCCAATTCAAGTGAAACTGGAGGCTTCTGGTTTCTACGATGGGTGGGAAATGAGACATTACTGAGCTGCCAGCGTTCTCGATACATCGATCTAATGAGTCGCACAAAAGGTCTGTGCATTACTTCACCTCAGTCACACAGACCCATTACCGGAGCCTTTGAGCAATTTAATTATTTATTTATGATTCACCATCCTACTTGAATTTATCATTTCAGAAATATATATAATGAATAGGTACAAGAATCCAGTTACGTAATCGTGGAATCAAAGCAGAAAACAACAAAAGCTGACCCATACTGAGGCGGACGCATGGATTTTACACAACGGGCGATGAAGTCCACAATTCGACGAATAATCGAGAAGATTGATATGTGAATGGAACCAATTTCCAAAAGTGTTACGCTTTAGGATCAATAGCAGTCTTAAGACTTACGAAAGCATTGGGCTGAGTGGTTTTAGATAATCCGCATCATCCGGTGATGGCGGCGGAGGTGAGCCGAATAGATCACTCAGCCTACTTCCAGATCTGTCATGTTTCTTGGCAGAGAAAGGATCGCGAATAGGTAGGAGTGTTTCGCCTGTGCTAGTATCAGACTGGCAAATATCAGACTAAATTTTAAAAAGGTAACCAAACAGAAAGAAAATCAAGGGAAAATTAAGCCTGCAATTCATGACATGCTCATCTAATATTACGCACCAGTACCAATTCCAGTTGGCTATCCTAACGATATGGGATAGGAAAACAGACATCAAAGGCCAGTATGAAAGTCAAGCGGATATGCTTTATCCGAGAATGCCAAAAAATGATAAATGGTTAAATGAAAAAAAAACATTGGAACTCCGAGCAATAAAGCTACAATGAAGTTGCACGAGTTTCATAGACTAATGTTCGGAAAAATTGTAAGAAACACGACATAACAAAGATCTGTCTGAAGATTTTGCAAGCAGTTGAGCCTATACAGCAACGTTTTGAGTATGGATCGAAGAAATACATGTATTCCTTGTTCTATGGTAGATTGTTGTTTTAATCGCTACAGGAAGAAACTAACGGCGATTAGACGAATGGATGAATACAAGATGACTAGTGAGAAGCTGTACATTTATCTGTTACATCAACTTACTTGAACAGAATATGAATTGCAAGCGTTATCCAGCATAGACAAAGTCAATGTATCATTCATTTCATAATCGAAAGTAGAAAGAGGTACAAATTTAGTGATATCCGTATGGCCATCGTTATCATCATTGGACAACTTGTTTGGCAGTTGACTGAATTCCGAGTTCGAGCCCGCGGTTTCTGGAATATTCGGAGGGACGTTGTCCAGCAAAGCGGCAATTTGACTGGTTAGAACAAACGTCTCTTCCACTTCAGAAAATAAGGTGCTTGCATGATCAACCGATAGGCTGCGCATTTTGACCGGCGGCGTTTCCAGATTAGGCGAAATGTTTAGTTCACGAGTAGCTGGTCTTTTGAACGAAGTGTGTTGGAAGTTCGACTGGGAGATACTGGGTGCGGAACGAGGTAGGTGAATCAGGTTGGAATTCCGCTCGCTAGTAAGGCACGGCGCCGGGGTAGACAGAGCACAAGGAACGTGAATTGGTGGCGCATTTGTGAGACTTTCCTCGTTATAATTAGTTGACTGATTTAATGACGGTTCTTCGGATGGATTTGTACATTGGGATTCCATCCGAGATAGATTTTCCTCTGAAATCATATTACACTTTACAAAGGGTTCATTCTCAGTTTTGGACACAACGGGGGATGTTGGGGACTTCGGTACAATCTGGCTAGGATCAGGACTAGTTTCTTGGCGCCGTGATGTATCTTGGACTGATTCAGAAGACTTCGGAACAACGACTATGTTGGTACCATACACGTATGCCAGATCCGAACGTAAGAGATCTTTAGCCTTCTCAATTATGATCGGAGCCGCTTCTACTTCATTCACATAAGAACCATCATCCAACTGGATTGTGCGTCGCTCACTCTGATGAGATACAGACACCTCCGATCTAAAACAGACACAGATCACATTGCAATTGAAAGTCGCATTAAATGAAAAAGTAGACTAACAGTAAACAAAATAGCATCACACAAGGATAACTGACGGATTTCGGCTTCCTTTAAAGGGCCATTTGTGCAATACTGTAACACAAAGCGAACTTACTATCAAATACTACTGCTAATGTGCGGTACTACAATATCCAAAAATGAACAGGACATTTTGGAGCAGATCAGTGAGTTTACTGGTATAAACACAAAAGACGCGAACAGGCTGGCGAAAAGCTTGATCAATAATTTAAACTATTTCATATAACAACGAACGAAACATTGCGGATAGCATGTTTTGTTTTGAGTAACCCATTCGACCCCCTACCAAAGTCTTTCTCCCAATAAGCCAATCCTCAGTTCCAAATTGACTTTGTGTGATAATAACAAAGCTACTATTACTACTACTGGATATTCTCACATGCTCAATGATTTAAGTCCTCAAATAGCGAACACAGATCAACTCTAAGCGGTCCAGGAAAAAAGAAGCAGATGCGAGTGCTATGAAAACGTTTTAATTACAAAATGCGGTGAACAGCAGAAAGTAAGAGCTTCACAGTCGCAGTAATTTACTTTTTAGTCAGTGCAACCAGCCATCTGGGACTTGTGGTAGAACGCCTATCTGAAACTCCGATATGTGCCAATGGCATGAAAACCGTGAACACTGAGTGAAACGAATATCACAAGACTGGGGTCCTACACAAAACCAATTCATTTTCACATGTAAATGCGCAATGGCACCATGTGGAACAAGCATATTGGTGCACGAGGACAAAGAGGTCACGAGACAACTTTCGGTACAAAACTGAATGTAGGGTTTCCAAATGTCGAGAATTCTGCATATGACCGTGACAGACATAGTAGACGACTGCCTCGGGGGCTGTATCAGAATGAAGCCCACAAAACCTTTGTGAGTTAAGAACTAAATTTTTCAGCAACATGACATCGTGTTCACATCAGATTGTTACCCTGACAGATAACAAAACATCGCGTTAGGTAGCAACCGAAAATTCTGATGTCAGAGATGATGCATCCACGAAAACGAAAAAGATGTAAATCACATGAATGAACGTTTACTGGAAGTCATGAGGGAAATTATCGCATTCTAAAATTAGCTGAATTGTTCTATGTATGTTAGTCGACAGGAATGTAGATGGTTCGGTAGAGACCCAACAAAAACCTATCCTCAAAAAGCCACGCCAATGAGTGAATCGCTACACACGCAAATGGGAAATTTTAAGCTCAAAACAAAACTCGTCGTATAAATTTAATTTTCATTACTTGGCAGCAGAAAATTTTGCCTTGCTGCTGTCAACTGTAATGACACGTCTACTGTGAATTTGATAGGCATTGAGTGCACACGGACTCTTCCATCCGTTGTTGGGTCTGTTTAATCCACCGAGCCTCTTTTCGCAAGCGCTCTTGAATACGGATTGCTCCTTTCAGTTAAAAATCGCTTTATTGACTCTAAAGGATGGAGTTACACCTCATTTATTTGATACCAAACAAACGGAAGTAATAAACTGTCGTATTTAAATCTTCACGTGATGCATCACAAAACAGGAAATAGAAACTTACCGTTCAAACGGAATAGCACGCTGTAGTAGACGAGCAATATCGCAAGCCCGAGCTGTTGAAAGAGCTGAAACAGAACTGTAACCACCGGAATACAAGGCGCGGGCGCGCTGAGCGTTCACAGCCGGTTGTAAGCGCAGTAAATCTACCAATTCTTCCGCTACCCCGTGAAACAATCGGGATTGGAAGCTTGAGAGCAGACGTTCCATATGGACCCAACCAAGGCGATTACAGAATATGGTAACCATTCCTGTGCGCCAATGAAAAATTATTGATAACATAAATACATATTGCAGTTGGAAGTGGAACTATAGTCTTAGTATATCAATAAATTGGAAATAACTGGAAATAACGAATTTGGATAGCATGACCACCATTATTTGTGACACCATTTCCGTTACTCATTAGTAATCTGTCGAAATTATGATAAAACTCGGATAGAACGCAATACGGCCAGAGTAGTCGCAAAAACGACTATGCTACCGCATGAGCAGACATCAACGTACCAAGAAAGTTCGGATGCAGCGAGCTGGTCAGGAACTTAGACGTTAGTCGTAAGTTTCAGAATGGTTTGAGGACAAACTTGCATTGTATCGAATTCTGCTCAGTAGGCTTCGCTGGTCAAGATAAGTTTTGCGTTTCTAACGGTCGGCTGAACATTCGCACCTTATTTACATTTTGGAGGTTAACCGATGACATAGAGATAAGGCCTGAAGAAATACCCACGGATTAGTTAAAGTTAATTTCCCGTCTTCCCGACCGCAATCCAAATGATTCCTTGATTGATGGGTGGAAGACACTAAAGGACATTGCAGGTAACCGACATCAGTGGCCTTCTTTCCTATTGTCATTTATCATCAAACTAGAGATATTGAAAACATTTGCACGCAAAGTTGGACTGTGCACTCTGTGTTGACCACAGAGGTGCTATTTCTTTTCCTCCCTCAAAATAGGCCCAATCGCCATGCACTGTTTGCACCGCGAGTTTTGCAGCGATTAGCAAAGTTCACTTCACGGTCTTTCGCTGTTCGATGGTGATTCTAATGATAACATCATAAAACCGTGGGTTTTGTTAACTCCAGGACCAAGGCTGAATCTCCATCCTTAAAAGTCAATTGGAATAGCCCGTTCGGGCCAGAAACCTTATACTTTCTGAGTTAACTGATTTCCCGGATAAACTCAATTTCAGACGGAAGACTGATAATGACTGGCCGCAGCTGCCCAATTCAAGCAGGAGTTGAGCTTTGCTTCGAGGGTCCGAATGCAACTGTTGCTCATATTTTATTGCATTCATCCGCTTCCGGTTTTGTGGTTTTGTTTGGTTATTTTACCAAGCGTAGGGTGAATCAGTTCAGTTTCCGTTTGTACAACCATTACCCACGCATATTTGTGTGCCGATTTTGGTTGCTGTCTTTTGGCTGCCAATTTGGATGCAGAATAGGAGAAGGGAAAAGTGAAAGTGGAGTTGAACAGAAAATGGAAAGGTTCAGTGGTCTAAGGTTGCAAAGAAATTGAGGAGATGCATGAACGCCACTGTTTACGACACCCAGCCATATCACTCAGTGTCTCT